GATATACTCAAAGCTTTTGATATATTGGTATTGTTTATAAGTGATTATCATGTAATTAAATACACTGCATGAGGGTTGGAGAATATGTCTCATAACTTTTGATATACTCAAAGCTTTTGATATATTGGTATTGTTTATAAGTGATTATCATGTAATTAAATACACTGCATGAGGGTTGGAGAATATGTCTCATAACTTTTGATATACTCAAAGCTTTTGATATATTGGTATTGTTTATAAGTGATTATCATGTAATTAAATACACTGCATGAGGGTTGGAGAATATGTCTCATAACTTTTGATATACTCAAAGCTTTTGATATATTGGTATTGTTTATAAGTGATTATCATGTAATTAAATACACTGCATGAGGGTTGGAGAATATGTCTCATAACTTTTGATATACTCAAAGCTTTTGATATATTGGTATTGTTTATAAGTGATTATCATGTAATTAAATACACTGCATGAGGGTTGGAGAATATGTCTCATAACTTTTGATATACTCAAAGCTTTTGATATATTGGTATTGTTTATAAGTGATTATCATGTAATTAAATACACTGCATGAGGGTTGGAGAATATGTCTCATAACTTTTGATATACTCAAAGCTTTTGATATATTGGTATTGTTTATAAGTGATTATCATGTAATTAAATACACTGCATGAGGGTTGGAGAATATGTCTCATAACTCAATTACATAGGCAAACCTCCAAATTTCATGTCCTTTATCTTTAAACCCTAGATAAGTGACGATCATATCAAATCACAATCAAAGACAATTTTTGTAGAGTTCAAGGAACACGTAGTTTCTTGGTATGACACTTACTTTTTGAGTTTTACATTCAGTTAGAGTTAAGTATTTTAATAAAGATTCACATGTGAATCCATTGATACACATAGATATCTATATAATCAAATTAAACTAAATCTTATATCCCAATCAAATGGAGTCGATTATATAAATCATTTTCACATAAATCTATATATGTACAATTATAGATTTAGCACAAAAAGCAAGTCAATTATAAACGGATGCCCATATACCTCGCCCAAGTGTTCCTCTTAGTTCAATTTGGGGTTAGGGACAGATAGTAGCAGCATAGTATTATGACTATTGTGCTTGCGTTACACAATATTTTTGGCGAAATGCAGCTTTAGCAGTTCTTGTTTTTGGTACTTGTGCTTTCTATCAATATGGTCACCTGGCAAGGCTTTTGAGAGAGAGCATCAAATCCAATGAACAATTAATCAATACCTTTTTAATTTTATTATAAAATAAAATTAAAAAGGTATTGATTAATTGTTCATTGGATTTGATGCTCTCTCTCAAAAGCCTTGCCAGGTGACCATATTGATAGAAAGCACAAGTACCAAAAACAAGAACTGCTAAAGCTGCATTTCGCCAAAAATATTGTGTAACGCAAGCACAATAGTCATAATACTATGCTGCTACTATCTGTCCCTAACCCCAAATTGAACTAAGAGGAACACTTGGGCGAGGTATATGGGCATCCGTTTATAATTGACTTGCTTTTTGTGCTAAATCTATAATTGTACATATATAGATTTATGTGAAAATGATTTATATAATCGACTCCATTTGATTGGGATATAAGATTTAGTTTAATTTGATTATATAGATATCTATGTGTATCAATGGATTCACATGTGAATCTTTATTAAAATACTTAACTCTAACTGAATGTAAAACTCAAAAAGTAAGTGTCATACCAAGAAACTACGTGTTCCTTGAACTCTACAAAAATTGTCTTTGATTGTGATTTGATATGATCGTCACTTATCTAGGGTTTAAAGATAAAGGACATGAAATTTGGAGGTTTGCCTATGTAATTGAGTTATGAGACATATTCTCCAACCCTCATGCAGTGTATTTAATTACATGATAATCACTTATAAACAATACCAATATATCAAAAGCTTTGAGTATTATAGTTGTAATTAGTGTTGGTAGTATCTTATAACACTTAAATAAAAAATAAAAAATTCTGGAGCTTATTAATTTCTGAATAGAATTATAAATTGAATATTGTGCATTGATTGTGAATTAGTTTTTAATGAAAATGTGGCAATATTGGTCCGCAGGATGCCTTATGTTAACAATAACATCTATCTGGAGCTTGAAAATGTGGCAATATTGGTCCACAGGATGCCTAGACACTGTAAAAACATTTAGAACAAAAAATAAAATGGCTGGAAAAGCATATCTGGTGGATCTTGTTCTCTTCTCTCTCTAAATTGACATTGAGGCAGTGGTCAAACAGCTCAAGACCCTTTTTTAAAGTTTTGTAATGGTTCAAGGTGGAAACAGGTACTGAATTTGATAGGGTAAAACACTTTCCTTTATCTTCAAATCAATTAAATATGGTGGCAAGAAGACTTCATGAAGACAAACTGATTATATCAATTTATTATAAATTTTCCCAATGTGGGGGAAAAAAAAAAAAAAATTCATAGAGTGTTCGACAGTAAAGAATCGAGCAAAGCACCAGAGTTCAACAATCTACGTCCGAACAAGTTCGACAACAACAAGCCGGACAATATGATTCGGTTCGAAATTCAAGTGTCGAATGGCGTTCGAAATTACAGTGTCGAACGGTTTGGAACTGATTCATTCATGTCAATGGTAACAAATTCATAAAACCCTAAAATCTAAGCGAAATGAGAACTCACCTGCTGCTTTACTTGAGCACCAACGACGTCTTCACCACTGCCTGTGTTGAGCACCAACACAGTGTAACACACAGTTCACCGGTTGAATCTGAGAATGGAGGGGGGAAGATGGACGAAGGTGGGTGTGTGGGGGTGTGTGAGTGAGTGAGGGCAAATATGGGAGTTTGTGTGTGGATGTTGTTGTGGGTGTGTGTGAGAGTAAGGATAAATATGTAAATTTGTGGTGTGTGATGAGCAAAATACATATTTACTAAATTACTAAAGGTGTGCTTTTAGAAGTGGTTTGCCTTGAGATAAAGTATGGTGTGTAAATAGAGGCACCCCAAGGTGCTTCCTTCTCTCTCGCTATTTCCACCCGCTGCCCTTTGAGCTCACTCTGCAAATCCAACTATGCTTGGGCATCTCAGTAGTGTTTTGAAAAGTTGGTAAAAAGTTAATTTTTTGACTTTTTTAATAGTTTTTTTGGCAAAAAATTGAGTTCTTCTGGGTAAAAAAAATTGACTTTTTTGACTAAAAAACCTAAAAAGTCAAAAAAACTGACTTTTTACCCTTGTTGCCAAAATGCCCCTCATATTGGATTTGGATCCTCTCCAACTATCATTCTCCCTAGTACTGTCCAACACTCGTATGAGATGATGACGCATGGTGTTTGGTAATTTATGGGAGAAAAGAAATAAAATGATTACTTTATAAGAGAAAAGAAATGATTGTGATTTTTCTCCCTCTTGTTTGGATAAGTAAGAAATAAAAGAAAAGAAATAACTGTAATTTATCTCTTTCTTGTTTGGTTAAATTTCATAAGAGAAAATAAAAGAAATTATTTTATGTTATATTACCAAAATAATCTTTTTATATTTTCAATCATTTTATTTCTTTTTTTTTTACAGGAACAAAATTGGTATTATGAAAATATTGGTTTCTTCTCTCATAATCTCTTCACTTTTGAAAAGATTGAAAATGAGCGTTATAAGAGAAATGAGTTTCTTTCCGTTTCTTTTAATTTCTTCTTATTTCTCTCTACTTAAGTTATCCAAACAAGTAAGAAAAATACATATTTCTCAATTTCTTTTCTTTTTTCTCTAAATTATTCAATCCAAACATAAAGAGCAGCTTGAACCTAGCTATATCTGATAAATTAAACAATTATCTTTTCAAAACAAAACAAAAAAACAGGAAAACCCAGCTTTTAACCTATACTGGGGAAGCGACCTTTAGCACCTAATTTTTATACGATGAGTCTAGTTGAATACATATCAAAAACTTCGGTGTAATAACACTTGGTTTGTGAAATTTCAAGTGAGAAGATCAAAGAGGACATTGCTTCACGGATTCTGATGAACTGGGCCCATTCTTGCGCTCATTGCAAGTGTAAGAGAGAGCCATGGATACAAAACAACTACAGTAGCCCAAGTTTTTTTCGACCACTTCGGCATCGGAGTGTCATAATCTTGTAATTCTGATTAGAAGAATTTGATCAAAATCTTTACATAATAAAACTTTAATACATTAAAAACAAACACAAAAAATCTTTAAAGAATCCAACATTATTACCAAAATATTCTTACTAACTAATTTAATATTTTAAATTTTAAAATAATAACTTTTGATCTAGATGTTACTTTTTAATAAATTAATATTTTTAAAATTCTCTCATCAAAATCTATCAAATAAGATTTAAATTGACTATAAAATTCTTTATAATAAAAAAAATATTGTCAAAATTGACATAAATAGTAAAATTTATTCTATTTCGCAAAAAAATTTACTGTCATTCTCCTGTCAATCAATTAGGAAACATACAATCGCTACCAGTTCAAAAACAAATCACAAAAAGACACAAATATCATAATAAAATTACTTCATCGTCGTCCACAAAAAAACAGAATACATATTACAAAGAGCAACCGCAAGAGGCAGAATTCAAAAACAAATCACACAAGAACACACTCCCAAAATAAAACTTTATTGTCAATCTATCAAACAAAAACAAAGTATATATTACGAATCACATACAACAACAACAAATTGAAGAAAAAAAAATGTAATCATCAAATTCAACATATCAACTCAAACAACAATCAAACAAGTGATCCAATAACTGATCCGAGCAAGTAATCCAATAAAGTGATCTAACTTCACTTGATCTTAACAAAAAGGCTTGCAGCTAACCTTCCCAAAAGATCACAATGACATCGTTGGATTTTTTGCCATACACCACCTAATATTCATGTTAAATAGTTTGGTTTTAGGATTAAATTTAATGGATAAGCCAAAGACCTATTTATGCAAAGAAATAAACACATGAAACAAAATCACTTAATAAAACAAAATTTAATGTCAAATTCATTAAAAAAAACTTCACAACATTGAAAAAAGCTTGTAAAAACAAAAATGGTGGACCTGCTGCTTTCATCACTGTTGGCAACCGTTTTGGTCCCAACCCAAAATAAATTTTGAAAGGAAAATGGCCCTTTTTGAAAACCTAAGGCAACTACAAAAAGCCTGGCAACATTGGCAGATGGGTAAACAAATCATAACCAACTACTATGCAAAATCTCCTGGAAAAAGACCAATATAACATCAATGGGAAACAAATAAACTAAATAATCACCACCACAGGCATTCTCAATTTGCTTTCTTCCTCTTCTTTGACTTTTTGCCATAAAATTGACCTTTCTTTTTTGACGACTCTGCAGATGGTTTCCGTTTCTTGCCCTGCCGTTTTGGAGACGCCAGCTCAGCCTTGCCATCTACCCCAGGCAAGGACATGTCTTCATCATCTTCTTCATATTCTTCATCATCTGAACTGAGGATCAAGTCCTCCACAACATCTTCATCCAAAGCTGCCTCTTCCCGTGCCTCCTTTCGTCTCTTCTTTTTCTTCTTTTCCTTCTTTTCAGGATGCTTAGTCCTGCAAGGCAATAAAACACAGCGAAAATATAAGCAAGAAACATGAGAGGGAAAAGGAGGGAAAAGGAGGGAAAAGGGTATGAGGGTAATTTAGTAATCCTACTTGGAATCACTTCCAGGTAACCACAAGGAATTAAAGACAGCAGTGCCTTCTTCATTCCTAATACCATTATCATCATCTTCATCATTTTCTGACATCTTACTTCCAAAGGCAGATGAGTGATCACCCACAAGAACACTGGAAAGCACAGTCCATTATTATAAAGTGGCAACTTATTAAACAATATATTAGACATAACATAAAATTTGACATATAAGATGGTTGTGAACCTGGATTCCATCAACGAGTCATTTCTTTGCTGTGCTCTTTGGCGTAAAGTAGCAACATGCTGCGACAAAGGGCTTGCACCAGACTTTTTCTCATCCTACGGCGACATATAAATTTAAGTTTCAGTTAACCAAGAAAAGTATCAAATAAACATGACAGGAAAATAAGCAATTGCAAGATGCACGAGCAAGCAACATCACAGTAAAATAAGCAAACATTAAACAATCATATTTAAGCACTTCACTTGTTTGGTTCGTCAATACAATCAATAAGGCACAAACACCCAAAGCAAGTATAGATCATAAAACATTTGGCTATACATCAGACACACCTAGACATTAGCAAAAAATAATATGCCTTTTCGTTGATTAGCAATCCACCAAACTCTCCATTGTATTCTTAGTCAACATGAATATAATAAGCTAAGTTCACATTTTAAGGAAACAATCGACAACTTCGACAACACAGCCATCTCCCATGCCAAACACCCCTTGGGCCTTGGCGCAATGAGCAAGGCACAAGGCGAAGCATGGGCTTCATCAAAGTAAGGCGCACCTTGTCGACAAAAACAGATAGTTTAGCATAGATAAATAATTCAAGGTTCAACACAAGGAAATCAAATAATTCATAAGCAAATGTACCAAAAGAGCAAGCCTTGTCAGATTGCTTACCAATCTAGGGCTTAATTGTGAGCAATCAGATTTAAACCATATCAATTCTCAAGCAATTGTACCAATAGAACAGCAAGAACCTCTAATCAACGAGCGATCAGCGAAAAAGAATAAGAAGGATCTCCCGCCTAGGCGCACAAGGTGAAGTATAAAGTGCTAAAGATGGGAAGGGATGGGATGGGTTGGGCCTCTTGCCAAGGCGCGCATTTATCAAAACTCTCCCATGTATCAAATATTTGTACACTAAATAAATAAATTTAACATCTATACATATATCTGCATCCAATAGGCGTACTATCACAGGACGACTCTTTGGCACAATGGAACTTTGTCCCATGTGGCAATTGAATTCCACCAACTCCAAGTTTGCCTTAATTTTTGACCATCCGAGTATTGGAGATCATCAACCATTTGACATAAGCAGGCCCACAAAGTTGCCACCAAGAACAAACCCCAATAAAGGAAGGTCCACATCTTGAATGCCACCAAAGACCTCATGTCCCAAGGTACTCCACACACAGCAATAACTGCTTCATAGCACCAAGCCCATCACAAGCATGACACTCGCCCAATTGACTTTCATGTAGTGAAGGCACCAATCCACAAAACTGTGCATATAATGCCAACAGGAAGTGTTGCTCACAACTGAATATCCCGAGCATGTCACAACACCACTGATAAGCATGCTAGTGCCACAACCACCAAAGTTACCCAACCATGTGCTAGCAAAGGCTCTTAACCAAGTCGAAAAACTAAATAAAATCCAATTAATTCTATAATAGTAGCACCGGATCTCAGTCTCACCCACAAATAACCTCTCTATCATTATTCAAAACCTCAAAACAGGATCTCATCTCAAAGTTCACCAACATGAAACCAATTATCAAAATTTCTTTTCAGTTAGCTTGGAAACAGAACCATTTCAGAAAGTTTCAGAAATGTTACTGAAATATATGAAAAATGACAAGAATTTGGAAACAAAAGAAAATACTTTGAAACAAAAACTAAAGCATACTTAAATGCTAATACATTCTTACTATTTAAATAATTGAAATGTTGAGGTCTATGAATATAAGAAGCTCATAACACAAAAGGTTTAATGGTTTAGCGAAGGGAGTTTTTCATTGTGAGAAAAAATATTAAAAAATGCAAATTTTAGTAGCATCAAGGATAAGAAAAGAAAAGAAAACTACAAGTAACAATCTCTGTAAAGAAAAAGTACTTTTATGTTAACAAAGAAAAAGAATAAGTAAATTAATCATCCTGTTTTTATTTTCTCATCTCTCACCCTTTCTCCTTTCTAATTTCTCAAATTATCTAATAAATTTAAGATTTTTCTTTGTTTTCAAATCTTTGAAATAACCATTGTTGGATATTCCTAATAGGTGCTGAAACAACTCAACATTTTGATATGTCTTTTAGTGTGCGGTGAATTTTGGTGGAAACATTGGATTTTTAGTATTCCACTAATGTTTTGTTTCCGTTTCTTAGGAAACAAAAACATTTCAGCCATTTCAATGGAAAAGAAACGAAATTTTATTCCTTGCTTGAAACAATTATCATAACAAATAATTATAATTACGCGAGTAGGTGGAAAAATTCCCATTTGTGTTTTGGCACACTGTTGACTCAACTGTACTTTTAAGTCTAGATAGGTTTACTCAAAAACTCAATCTGACTTTTCTAACACATAGAAGCCAACATTTTCTAAATAAAAAATAAAGAATAAAAATAAAATTGAAAAATGAAAAAGGATTTGTTAACAGGTTAAGGCAAGACCTGCCGATCTGAAATTTCTAATTTTACACTGGTCACCAACCGAACATAAGAACGTATAACACGTACTGAAACATGACAAAGTTGTAAATTAAACAAGCCAACCCAGTTTTTTTTTTGATAATTAACCGAACTTTATTAGAAAAGCATCAAGAAGATGCAAAAAGATACAAAACTGAAAGCCACCACGGCTCAAAGAATAAACAAATCAAATCCTCCACAAAATCTAAAAAAGCCAAAATATCAAGATTGACCAAGTGTGTCACCCAACTATACAAAATCGTAAGAAGACGACTCTCTAACCAAGGGACTGAACGAGACACTCCTTGGAAAACACGCCTATTACGCTCCAACCACACCAACCATAGAAGACAATGAGAAGCGAGCATCCACGCCTTCCGACAAGCCACCACGGCTCAAAGAATTAACAAATCAAATCCTCCATAAAACCTAAAAAAGCCAAAATATCAGGATTAACCAAGTGTGTCACCCAACTATACAAAATCATAAGAAGATGACTCTCTAACCAAGGGACTGAACGAGACACTCCTTGGAAAACACGCCTATTACGCTCCAACCACACCAACCATAGAAGACAATGAGAAGCGAGCATCCACGCCTTCCGACGCCTCCTCCCAACTCGACCCCCAGCCCAGCTTTGCATAACTGCCTTAACTGACTGCGGCTGCACCCAACCCAAGCCAAGCTAAAGGTTGCAACAAGCAGCATCCAAAGACGGGAAGCGACCGGGCAATGAACCAACAAATGGTCCACCGACTCCGCAGCACCACAACACAAACAACACCAATTGACCAAAATGTGGCCACGACAAATCAAATTATCCAAGGTCAAGATACGTCCCAACATGGCCGTCCACACAAAAAAGGCCACCTTGGACGACGTACCTGACACCCAAACACATCTCCAAGGGAATACAACAGGCTCTACATGAACAAGCGCACCATAAAACGAGGATACAGAAACTTTCCCTTAGCCCTAGGGCAATCTCACACCAAAGAATCCTGCCCAACCTCCTCAACACGCAATGCATATAAAAAACCCAACAGCTCCAAAAGTTGATCTTGCTGCCAATCCTGTACAGCACGGCACAAATGCACATTCCAAACAGTCGAACCCCCGTGCCCAGATCGCATAGCACCTATCCGCACCTCCGTATCAACGGCAATACCAAAAGTCAAAGGAAACCGCACTTCTAAGGAAAGATCACCACACCACCTATCCCGCCAAAACCAAACTCTATCCCCCACTCCTACCTTCAGCTTAACCCTCCTCCAAAATTCCTCCCACTTCAGCCAAATCCGTTTCCATAGACCAAGACCATGGGACTGCCCCACCTGCCCTGAACACCACCCTCCCCTCCCTTCACCAAACTTTGCTACCACCACCCTCCTCCAAAGACAGTGCTCTCCTCCACAAAAAAGCCACGTTAAACACAGCCAACCTCCGAATCCCCAAACCCCCATTCACCTTGGGGCTACAAATCCGGTCCCAAGCTACCAAATGATAGGAGTTATCCCCCCCATTACCCATAGGAAATCCCTTTGCAACTTCTCAATCCGCTGTGCCACTGACACTGGAATCACAATAACAGACATAAGGTAAGTCGGGATGCTGGATAAGACACTCTTAATCAATGTGAGTCTGCCACCTTTAGATAAGTACTGCCGCTTCCACCCTGACAACCATCGTTGCACCCGATCCACCACCCCATCCCACACTCCCTTGGCCTTGAAGGACGCCCCCAGAGGTAACCCCAGATATGATACTGGCAAAGATGTCACTTTACACCCCAGGATAACTGCAAACACCGGCGTCCGTGCCACCTCCCTAACTGGAATCAATTCCGACTTGGCCAGGTTCACCCGAAGACCCGAAATTGCCTCAAAACACAACACACATCTCAAGTGGACAAGCTGAGCATCATCTGCTCCACAAAAAATAAGCGCATCATCTCCCTAAAACAAATGGGATACTGTCAAAACTGTAGGAGCCATACCCACATCAAACCCCTGCAACAGACCTCCCTGCACCACCCTAGATAACAACCGCCCCAGTGCCTCCATCACTAAGATGAACAACAAAGGAGATAACGGATCCTCTTGCCGAAGCCCTCTGTAAGTAGGAAAGAAACCCACTGGGGACCCATTGACAAGGACCGACATCCGCATTGTGGAGATTAAAAATTGAATCCACCTCCTCCATCGATCCCCAAAAACCTAATCTGTGCAACATATACAGTAAAAACTTCCAATTGACGTTATCATATGCCTTCTCAATATCGAGCTTACAAACAAGCCCCGCCTGCCCCTGCCAAATTTTAGAACCCACACATTCATTCGCCAATAGGACTGCATCCAAAATTTGGAGACCACCCACAAAAGCATTCTGAAACTCAGAGACCACCCCTTCCAACACACCACGTAATCGATTCGCCAACACTTTTGCCAAAAGCTTATACACACTACCTAAAAGACTAATAGGCCGAAAGTCCCGAATATCCTCAGCCCCACCCTTCTTGGGAATCAAGACAATAAATGTGGTATTGAGGTTGAGCTCAAATTCCCCTGTCTGATGGAACTGCTCAAACATGGCCATGACATCTACCTTCACCACTCCCCAACACTGCTAAAAAAAGGCTAAGGAAAAACCATTTGGACCCGGCGCCTTATCACCAAGCATACTCCGTAAAGCCTCAAATACCTCATCTTCTACAAAAGGCCATTCCAACAAACAACTATCGTCCTGGGAGATAGCATCAAACAACACCCCATCCAAGCCCAGTCTCCACACCTTCCCCTCATCTCGAAATAAATGCTCGTAGAAACCCACAATACCTGCGTTAATCTCCTCGGAAGATGAAAGCTCCACACCATTCATTCGCAAATGGCCTATCTAATTCACCTTATGACGAGCATTTGCCATACGATGGAAAAACTTAGAATTGAGGTCCCCATTCTTCAGCCACAAGCATCTAGATTTCTGTCGGAAGCTAATCTCCTCCATCCGAGCAACCTGGGCTAACTCCGCTCGAACCCTCTCCCAACGAGCCAAATCCACCACAGACAATCCCCCCGCAATCTCTATTGCATCCAGCTCCTGCAATACAGCCAACGCAGAGGCCTTTTGTACCTCCAGGCGGCCAAACACTTCCCTATTCCATTGCTTCAGATCGGTCTTGAGAAATTTGAGTTTTTGCGAAAGAAGGTAACTAGGCAAGCCTGACACGGAATACCTATCCCACCAACCTTTCACTCGCTCCGTAAAACCCTCAGATAACAACCACATATTCTCAAATCAAAATAGTGCTGGACCACTCCTGATTCCCCCACTATCCAATAAGACTGGCCAATGATCGGATACAGGCCGCGGCAAACGGACTTGAGACACTTGTGAGGAATGCTCCTCCCACTCCCCTGTGACTAAGAATCTATTAAGCCGAGACATCGCTCCACCCCCAAACCACGTATAGCCACCACCCTACAATGGTAAATCTACTAACTCCATCTCATCAATAAACGACGAAAATGCCCGCATAGAACTCACCACCAACCTAGCCCCCAACTTCTCCCCCATACTCCTTACCACATTGAAATCACCGCCTACACACCACAGAACCCCCCACCGGAAGGCAATGCATTGCAACTCCTCCCAAAAGCTCGGACGCTCCCCACCACGAACCGGCCCATATATCCCTGTGAAGGCCCAACGAAAATCATCCTCAACACACCGAAAAGACAAGAGATCAAGAAAGCCCCCACCTCTTCCTCATCCTTCACCACCACCCTCCTATCCCAACAAAGAAGAACTCCCCCTGCCACCCCTAAAGCCGGCAGAAAAGCCCAATCCACAAACCGACCACCCCACAACTCCCTAACTAACTCCCCCTGTAGACACTCCAGCTTAGTCTCTTGAAGGCACACCACATCTGCCCTTGCACTTTTGAACACCGATTCAACCAACACCCTCTTCTCCCTATCATTCAAACCCTGCACATTCCAAGTCAAAATCTTTAACTACATTGCAACAACTGGTTTCCGTAACCCTTCCTAGCACCTCGCCCATCTCCACCCTTACCTCGATCATAATTAATGGAACACTCTAGTTTCCGTAATTCCCGAACACCCTTCCCATTGTTTTTCATAGGCTTCTGCACTTTTCGTATAGGAGCACCATCCCTCCATTACTCCTCTATAGCTGAAAATAATTTAAGGGCCTCATTCTCATGCCCTTCAAAAGAAACCTCCAAAAATTGGCTAACCTCATTAATACGAGAGAGGACCCATTCCGAAACCTCCTCTGTACTCGGAAACCCATCCCCCTGAAACTCCGTTGCTGACATTGAGGCCTCGTTTAGGATGCTACTTTTTTAGCCAATTAGCCAAAAAGTTACTAAATTAGCCAATTAGCCAATTAGTCATACCAAAAAGTCAACAATTACGGCTTCTCTCTACTTTTTGCACAGCCTTTCGTAATTAGTCAAAAAGTCATCCCAAACATACAAGTTTTTTTTACCTACCTTTTTAGCCAATTAGTCAAAAAGTTACTAAATTAGCCTGTTCCTAAACGAGGCCTGAATCACCATCCTCATCCACGACATCCTCTCCAGCTTCCCCAGTACTGACAACATTAGGCCGGACCACCAAGGCCATCTCGTCTGCCATAACAGTCCAGCGAGCGTCATTCGGCGGTGCCTCCGGCTGTCGCCTACCCTGAGAACCTGCCTCGTCACACTGCTCATCTGCAATGGAGCCAGCGTGATGTGAAGGAGAAACAGCATCGGCACAGAAAATCGACTGCTGTAGGCCCCCTGGCCGATCACCGGTGTCCCTCCCATAAGCTCCCGTCTCTGCCACCAGCACCCTAACACAAAGCGAGGCGAAAACCCGACTAAGCTTTGGGTTGGCTTGACTGGGTTTGCCTGAAACACTTCCCTCTGGGTTGGGTTGGCCTAACCTTTGCTCAAAGTGACCTATCTCACCATCCAGGCCCAAATTAGTAGTCATTTTTGTGTTGGCCCGCCATTGCTAGCCCTCTGAAATTCAGGACTTAGCAAGGCCCACTTGTGTGGTCTTAAAACCCCCTTGTAAGCCCACACCGTGGCCCAGCTGAACTGAAGGCTGTAAACAACCGCCCCAATATATAGTCTTCCCCTCAAATTTACACAGATATTCCTTCACCCCCAAAATCTTCGGGATTCTACGATTCGATCGTCGTGAATCACGGCCTTCCTTTCCCAGACGAAGATGCGCACCCACCATAACCGGCAGCACCACTGGCTCCGTCGTCAGCCTTTCCTCTACCTACACCGGCAACGAATAATTCCACGACCCCCATCGGATGGAGATACGCAGTGGTGTGTTCTCCGAACCCCTAACACATAGCTGAATTGAGCCCAAATTACCAATGACTTGTCGGCCTCCACATAACCGCCACACTGATCGCCGATTTGACGAAAAACCTCCGCCTCCACGAAGATGAATCAGCAAGCCCACCACTCGGATCCAAACCCCCTTTTTTGCGCCTCACCCATCCATCCCCTAACCTAAATCCTTCAACAACCAGAGCCACATCCCCCCACCCACCTCCAAATTCCAACACTGGGATGAAAATTTGTTCCCTACGGCTCCCTACCGTCACTACTATTTGAAACAAAGAAAGACCTCCTTCCTCCCCTCAAACCCACACTACTACACTGCGACTGCCCCCACGAAGACGACCCAGAAATCTGAGACCTTCTGGTTCCCGTGATGCCACCCGCATTTTGTCCACAATCCATCTCGCTTCATGACCAATCAGCACTACCGCCCGTCTAAGCCCCTGACCCCGCTCTACGATCGATAAACTACGACGCCCAATCGAGTCTACCGACGACTCTTCCAATTCAAAAGACCGACCACCGAGGAACAGAATTCGCCGGCGAGGTCCAGTTGTTGACCTTGCAGGTAACATAATTATCTCCTAAAATCCCGGAGCATTTTTGGATAATTTCCTTTTTTTCTGAATTCAATTCCCCAAAGAAAACCTCCAAAATCTTTTCTTTAGAGTAACATTTAATGCAAGTAAAGCTCGATGTAGAATGAAAAATAGCCAAGCCAGTTATTTGTCAACCAATAAATCTCTTAATTAGTTCTCCCATTTTATGGCAAAGAAAAACTACAACATCAGTTGACCAAAAAGGCTATTTGAGAAAATGGATTAAAAAAATAAAGAAATAAAAGAAAAAAGGGAAAATGGAACCATGGATTTGCAAACCTGAAGAAAAGATGCTGCTGCAGGATCATTTGGTAAAAATGAAATTGAAATACGTTTTTGATTTGTAAACTCAGCATTTGCCTCAATCTGTAATATGAAACAGGCAAGACATTAATGGTGCCATCCATAAGCTTCAGACATGACAATAATGGATTGATTCAGCTATGAAATACAGAAACAGTATTAATAAAAAGAGAAGGAATGAAACTTTCTTTTTATCTTTTTTTCTTTTCTTTCCACTTTTTATACAAATCCACTTCTGACACATCTTTATCACAATTGACATTTAACATTGCTGATGTTTCCTCTTAAGAATATATACCTGACGAATGAGCTGCTTCATTTCTCGACGGAACCTCTCAACTTTTGTAGATTTGCAGAAGTTTCGCAGTCTCTTTCTTCGAGGAATAAAAGACAACTCAAAGAAAGCAATAGAATAACTCCACTGGGCTAAATGTTCAGCAAGCTCTTCAACCACAGAAAAAACACATGCCTCTTGAAATGCTCTCGTCTTTAGGGTTGGTTTGCTTACCTGCCACCATGCAATTCTCCATATTCACATTCACCTAAAACAGAATTTGCTACAGTGCAATTAGCAAAGAAAAAGAAAAAGCTACTAAGTATTACCTTCAATATGGTACGTAGATCAACAGCTTTGCCAACACCTCCAGTAGGGGGTCTATTCAATTCTTTCATCTCTAGCATGTCTAAAAGGACCAAAGAAACAGGTATAAATGTTCCAGTGGAAGCAGCTATTCGGTTGAGCATCCTGACACAACGCAATCTGAGGGGAAAATATCGAGCAGTTGGAACTAAACGGGCTACCCCAGAAATTATTTGTGCTAGTGGATAAGCAAGTGGCCTAAAATCAGCTTCTGAACCATAGGCACAGATAGCTCCAGTCCAGAGCTCAAGGCAATTCATATACTTCCATTCATAAACCTTTCGGAATGCTTCCTACAAAAAAATCAGGTTTTAGTCAAGGATCATATGAACTAAGACTTAATTTAAATTAGTGAAATGCAGTAAATTGGCTATTGTTAGAGTTTTTTTATTTTGGGTGAATAACTATTGTTAGAGTTAGTATCAGCATTTTATTTATTTATTTATTTTTATGAGCAACATTTATATTATTAAAACTGAAAGAGAATAGAGTTAGTACTAGCATTACGTTCGCAATTTCATGACTCGTAAGGTACAACTCAAGTCACTACCATGAGGAGAGCAAATTGCACTGCCTACATCACCTGGGAAGTTTGAAGGCAGTGCAATTTGCTCTCCTCATGGTAGTGACTTGGGGACCAAGTTAGGACAGGCCAGGCTAAACAAGTCAAGGTTTTCTAGCATGGCTGACCATGTCGTGAACCATGGTAAACCAAAAGCAGGTGCAGACAGCAATTTCAGGAAGTCCCACAATATGGTCAACCATAGTAGAAGTCTCAAGAGCCCAGATGGCCAGATCACTGTACGGTCAACCATCCTAGTAGATGTAGTCAACAATGACGGCCTACAGTCGACCATGACATTGTATGGTTGACAACACTTGGAAAAATTTCGAAAGTACAACCATTAATTAGCCGTTATACATTGGAGCTATATACACTAAATGCCCCCATATGGTATGATCTGATGAGAAAAAGCTCTTTAAGTGTGCATATACACTCTTGATACTCTCTCAAACACATCTCATAGAGATTTACATCTTTGTGTGACAGTGAGCCATTGTACCTTCTTGCTATAGATAGTTGTATACACTAAGCGTAGATGCCATCACATGCCTATGCTTTACATCTCAAATAGAGACACTACGGAGCTATCAGTGAGCTTCTTGTAAAACAGTTCTTAGGATTGTGTTCTGGGCTGAGCCACCAAAGAACTATATGTGATCTTCTTTGTTGAAGTATTCATAGAATTATGATTTGGCGGTCATTGGTTTTGGATTGAGCCACTATGAAGCTATCAGTGAGCTATTTGTTTTATTGTTCTTAGGATAATGTTTTGGTGGTTGTGATTTTGGGTTCAGCCAAGAAAACCCTAATTTTATTTTTTGTGATTTGATTTGTATGTTGTAAAGGTTATGTGATCCTACAGAAAACTTATGGGTGTTGTAAAGGTTTTGGGTGAACCTAGGAAAAACCTGTTAAGTTAGTGGACTGCACCACCAAAGGAACTTAGGACTGGATGTAGGCACATGGGGTCTGCCGACCAACTATAAATACTTGCGTTCATCATTTTCACATACTTTCTCTTCACTTTACATGCTTTGAATGTATGAGATAAATGCATGATTGAATATGCTAATCTTGGGTTCATGAATGTTTGGATATGACTAGTTGATGTATATAATTAAATGATTGAAGCTTAATTATAAAACTTGGTGAATGATATCAAAGAGAACAATCTAATATCACCATAATTAAGAAAGTGGTTGGTTGGACTTGTAGTGAACAAATTGAATATAACCCAAGTCAACCAAAAGGCTTAAGTAGGGGGATCGGGACTCAAATAACATTCTAAGGACATTTTCAGCTACTTGGTCAGCTTCTATTTCATAGAGTAAAACATTCAAATACAAATACCAACATAACAAGTCAAAGAAATGATACTAAAAAGACAGGTGTAAAGTTCAGACGTAAAAAAATGTTAACATGATCATGAAAATTAAAAGTTTCGAACCACAGAATTCATGACCAAAGGATTTGGAAAATATAAGCATGAACTCCTAGGGGGAAAAAAATGTGCACGACTACAGAAATACGAGGAAAACACAAAATATGATACCTTAGTTTTCATCGTAAGTGCCTCCTGCAAAATCATTGCCAATTGCCTTATAAAAACAAAAGCATGTTGATATGCAGTAGGAAGGTCCACCCCCAGAACTTCAGTGACACAATTCCCAAGAAACTGAATGTGCTGTAATTTTGATGCATTCACAAATTGGCAACTCAAGACATAGGCTTTGTATATCCCTTTAAAGCATTCATCTAAACAATCAGAACCAAGTCGGATGCATAAATCTCTTATAAATAGAAAGGAGACAACTGGCAGTGCACCTCCCCCAATACCCCAGAAGTGAAGAAGAACCTGAAAAGCCAAAATATTGAAATCTTTTTTACCACTTCAGTAGAAGTATTCAGTTAAAAACGCGGCTATGATTTCACTTCAACATACTCTGCACTATACAGAATGCATGCCCATAAATATGAAGTGCAAAATTAACAAACACTCAACCCTTTTTTTTTTCCCCCTTCTTTTTTATTACTTTCCCTTCTTTTGACTTTTGAGGGTGGGGGTCCAGAACTGTGACTCTTTCTTTTTTCATTTTTTGTCTTTTTGGCCACATTAGTGTGATATTTTATTCTACCAATCATATCACTTGCGTCAAAAGATGTTCAAAAGGATTAATACCCCAAAAAATGTTAAGAATTCAATTCCAGATTGTCCAGACAAATCGATTTTGGCATTAATGAAGCATATAAATTGCATTGGGTGACCACAAGTGGAGTAATAAGCATAGGAACCACACATGTCCATATTAACAACAAGATATATTAAACCAATTCAATATACATCAAAATCGTGACTCTACCATCAACCCTCCTTGATGCATCCAAAGCAGTGAAAATTATTTAACTGGATGGGAAAATTGAACAACTCAAAGCATACCTTAATATACCTCCTCAAGAGACTGGGGAAAGTAGCCAAAAGTATTGATGAATATCTCAGACGTCTTAATGTGAAAGATATCATTTCTGTGTCAGTCATTTGGTTCAAGACATGTAGAGCATTTCCAAGGTATGATTTCACCAAGTGGCTGTAGTTCTTCCATTGTCTTGTGCTCATCAGATCTGTAATTGTTTCCTTCTTTCCTCCAGAAGGTGGGAGTTTTAACAATGCTCGAAGAATTCCATCCATTTCACTTAAAACAAATAACATTATTTTATTGAACACACTGCTAGACATGATACTAAACTTTGCCTCATCCTCACCATCGTCACCATAATGGCAAGCAGTACGGAAAGCTCTCATAAGAGAACGAACTGCCCCTAAGTTTGAATTTTTTCGGATTGCATCACACCAAGAATCAACCATTGCACTAGTTATAACATTTTTGGAAGACTTTGCTTCCTTATCTGCAGTTCTAGCCAGATGTTTTATATCATGAGCCTCAGTTTCTTCATCTTCTTGCATTTCCTCATCCATCTCTGTTTCAATATCTTCCTGTAAAAGTTAGACCAAAGTTGAGAATACTAACCAGCTAGCAAACACATCAGAAGCAGTAAGAAGCTACAAACTCACATCAATGTCCTCATCATTGAATTCTAGAAGCTCCTTGTCATGCTCTTTCAGAAACTGGAAGAAATCAGGGTCCTACAGAAAACAGTTGTTAAGACTTCACGCAAAATAGAAGAGCAGAGAGGATTGTAAGTAAAAGACTGCTAAAAATATCCCAAGCAACCTAAGCATTTCCTCCTTCAGGAAAGGGGTGTTTACAGTAAGAAAGTTGCTCAAGAAGCAAAGAAGACAACTTTCAATCCATGGAGCTCTCTTTAAAGATGCAGATTTCACCCTCTCCTTGAGTGGCTAGACTTCCTCCTTGAGGTCTAGATGAAACTAGAGTCAAGTAACATTAGAATTTTTGTAGTTTTAATTTTAAGATCAATTATTTAGTCATTATAGCCCCGTTTGACTGTCCAGATTTGATGCAAGGGTTTGAGGAGAATATGTAATACCTAAGGATAAAAATGGAATATAATATGTTGTAGGATATGAGATGGATTATATATATTGTGGGGTCATTTATACTATGTTTGGTTAAGACAAGATATAGGATGAGATAAGAGAAAGTGATTATTTTTTACCTTTCGATGAAAGATTTCCTATATCCGACGGTGGGGGATATTCAATACCATAGGGGCTGGTACTGCATATCCCCCCTTTTGATCATATACTATCCAGACTCTCTATATCCGGAGAAACCAAACACGGGATATAGGGAGACAAGAAAACATGTGACACCCACATCATATTATATCCGGCCTAATTCTCATATCCGCCCCTCATGTACAGTAAACAAACAGGGCCTGTGATTGTATAACTTTGGAATTTGTTATATAAAATTAGGTTCAATGATTGTGTTTAATTTCAGTGATTTTACATACAATGGTTATGCAATGGTAATCTTGGCACACAGTTTGATCATTAAGATGATTGATTCATGCTTAGGGAAGACAAAACGTTCCACAGCCCTAGTTTTAGTGTAGACGTCGCATTCTAATCAAAGATGATCATACCTAACAATCAAACACATGAATCTTCTTGAAGACTTAATTGAGGCTTGTAGCCCCAATGAGTTATAATCATATTGTTTAATTAATTCCCGAAATTGATACAAAAATCCTCGTTACAACTTACAAGGCTAGTGGCGTATTTGTAACCTTAAGTTTTTCTCTACTTGAATTCCAATTTGGTTTTAGTTTTGTTCAACTATTGCCTTCAATTAATTTAGATTAAAATCAAACATTCTCTTCTTTCGAATTAATAAAGAATTGATTTACGAAATTAAAACTTGACACCCAGACCCAAGTACTAGACATAAATCAATCAAATATCTTCAATGGTAAGGACTAACAATGGCCACAGCAAGATTTAGATTCGGCTTTCACAAACTTATGGTACCAACCCGAGCCTCGAGAGAGAATGAATAAAGCATTAACAATAAATGAACAGAAAAAATCAAACCCATCCAATGTCTAAACTAGAACTCAAGCATTCACTTCTTAGCTTGGGATTTGTAACAACTCAAATGAAATTATCTTCCCTTTCAAAATAAACCAGCAAAAAGCTGAAATAAGCTTTGCAGTCAAATATATATTTATAAAGCATATGATTTTACATAAATACATGCATGTTATAGTGAGTTCTGACCTTTTCTTTAAGTCTCTGTAATTGCAGCTTGTGCTCGCTTGCTTTTTCCTGAGAGTCCGACATCTTATCGGTCATATTGTCTTCTTCTTCTTCTTCGTGAACAGTTTCATTCTTCAATTTCTTGGCTGATATTTGAATGAAGAGTTCAATACATTATACTAAACCATGAATACAGAAAAGCTAGTAAATAGGAAATGAAAAGTAATTTTAAAGGAGAGAGAAACAGACCTTTGCCTTTCGCTCCCATGGCGACACTGAAAATTAACAACGACGACAATGAGAGAAGCAGCAGCGTACTCTCTCTCTCTCTCTCTCCGCTTTCTTCTTCTCTTCGCTTCTAACGTTTATTAGGGTTTTTTTTTTTTTCAAAACAACACAGTTATATTAAACTTCAGAAGAAGAAAATTGTTAAAAATTATACTATAAAATTTTATTTATTTTTTTTTATTGGTGAGAGATTTAGGTTGCGTTTGGTAGAGTTTTGTACATATGATTTGAGAGTATGAATTATATTTTGAGTTTATGAGTTGTAGAATTATGATTTGAGTATAGAAAATTTGTTTGGTTATGATTTTTAAATAGAGTGTTGAATTGAGTGTGAAATTTAGTTTTGAAAGTTTGATTTGACATGTAAAGTAAGAAAATTTGTTTGGTTATGAGTTTTTTGAAAGAATTTTCAAAACTTAATTCAAATTGTTATAACTCATAACAAAATACACTGCTTTCACACTGTTAAAAATTTTGATCAACACTTATAACTAAACTCTTTTTAAAATTCAATTAAAAAAATTTATTATTAATAGAAAATAACATTAATCAATTTTTTAATTGAAATATTACAAAGGAAATAATTTTTTTTCAAATAAAAATTCAAAAAATCTAAATCATAAATATTTAAATAATTTAAATAATCTAAAAAAATTAATAAGTAAAAAATTAAAATAAATATTCAAAAAATTTAAATCGTAAAAATTTAAATAATTTAAATATTCAAAAAATTTAAATAATGTAAAATATTAATATTTTAAATTTAAAAACAACTCTACACTCAAATTATAACCAAACACATAAAACAAAATTCAATTAAGAAATTATTTTTAAAACTCATAACCAAACACATAATTTGAAACTCCACACTATTTTCACAACTCTACATTCAAATCGTAACCAAATACATAACAAAAAAATTAAAATATTTAAAAATATTTTTATAAAATAAAGTTTGATTTTATTTTTATAAAATATTTTAAAATTTAAAAAATTAAATTCATAATATTTTGAAATTAAAATATTTAAAAATTAAAAAAAAATTAAAAAAATCGTAACATATTTAAATATTTAAATATTTAAAATCTTAACAAAATTAAAATATTTTTAAAATATTTAAAAAATTAAAATATTGATTTGAATTGAGTTGAGTTTTGTAAAGAGTTTTGAATTATGTGTTTGGTTATGAGTTTTGAAAAGTAATAATTATGTTTTGAATTGAGTTTTGAGAAATAGGTGTAAAATTATGATTTGAAAGGTCAAAAGAAGCAACACATTCAAATCAATGGGTGAAACTATAATTTCAGAGTTGTGCCAAACGAAGCCTTATGTTTTGTGAAATAGTTTGGTAATAGATCATTTTATTTATTTTAGAGGATATTTTATTTTTAATTTTACCCTCTGATTTATATGTTTGGCTTTTTTTTATTGGTTGACTTTTTGTTAATTATCTATTCAAATTTATATCTATCTGTTCAAATTTATATTTGTAACAGTTTTGATAAAGGATGAACTGCTCGAGCAATGGAGTTATCGCTCGAACAGTGAATTGATTTAGTATCTCTTCTATAGGTCTAAGATTTTGAGAGGATGAAGTTTTCGCTTGAGCGACAGAGTTACTGTTCAAGCAGTCTTTTTTCCCACACTACTCGAGCGCAAGATTGATCGTTTGAGCGGTGTGTTCGGATTTAGCCGAGTTAAAATCACTTTTGCTTCACTTTCTTCACACTTTATATTTCTTCGTCTTTCCCAATTCCGAAAAACTATAGCCTTAAGTCTTAGATTCCATCATTTTTACAAAGAATCCATCATTGATCATGTATTAGAAATGAAGAGCGAGCATAGATCAACATCTTAACCGATTAGTTTGCGCTCTCCTTGAAGTTTCTTGTCGGGTTTTCATCTTCTAACTTCCATCTTCGAGGTAGGGGTGTTTTTATATTAATATATCTATGATTTGAAATGTATATATGATATTTTCTAGTTATATTGATTTATGAGATTGTAGATATCCCATTTTGACCGGTCATAAGACTTGAGCACTTTCTTTTGATTATCCGATGATGAAAACAATAATGTGTTTTTCGCATAATTCTCTGTAAGAAATATGGAATTTGTGTTTCATTTCCAAACCTAAGCCTGTTTGTCCAAGTGTTTAATTTCCGTTCAAAACTCTCTTTCGAAAATTTCTTTCCACGTTTTTGTTCCGGATATTTTCATAGTGTTCTGAGGCTCATTTTTAAACTTCAAAATGAAACTTTTTCTAAAGAAATTAAGCAAAGAGCAGTGTGGAAATAGGAGAAAATGATGATAATTCTGTCAAAAAATCCTGTTTCGTGCAAAATAGTCAACCGTAACCAAGGCCAACTTTTTTGGCCGGTCAGCTAATAAATTGGCTAGTTGGCTAATTTCTCTGAAGCAGGGCAGTTTCAACAAAATTCTTGTTGAATGCGTTTAGGTCATGCCATACAGCTGTTTCTTAATAGATTCATGCACGAGGCATATATCTACCCACCTCCATTATCCTTCTTTGGCATCCATTGTTAAACGGGGAATTGTCTTATTCCAAAAAAATGGCATCAATTTTCAACCACCCTTATCATCTCATCAACCTTGTTTGTCACCTTTTTCATTGAGCCTGCATTCATTATCCATAGAGAGGATCAGAATGGAGAGAGGAAATGAATTGAAAAGATGAATGAATTAAGAGAAAAGGGAGACATAGAGAGAAAAAGAGAGAAGTTTTCAACATTTGAGCTAGAAGCTTCCATACACTGATATACCATCTTCCATATATCAAAATCAACCCATAAATTCAGTAAATATAGAGACCCTAATTTTTGTAAATAACTTTAAATCCCTAACCTGGAGTCTATTTCAATAAACCCTTGAATTTTTACTTAATTGCGTTTTAAACCCTATAATCGAGAAGCATCGCTGATTAATTCGAGTAAACCCTGATTGATTCCAGTAGATTAGCAATCACCTTTAAAACCCTATTATTAATTATTAGACTCTATAATTATAGATTAATTACTTTAAAATCTTAATTCCCGGTAACGCCGTTTTCATTCGGTTTCTCGCATTTCTTTGCACTTTAATTTAATGGGACCTGAATTTATTATTTTAATTATTTTCTAATATTATTATATTAATAATAAATATCAAGGGTTCATAAATTTATAGATGGTCCCTATATACTTCTATTTTATTTCATCTCAAACCTTAATTGTAATATTTTATTAATTAATGTACTTGTGCCTATTATTTTATGTATATGAATACAAATATCTCATATATGTATATATATATATTTCTTTTACTACTTGTTTTTTGCCTCCTAATACAAGCTCTTTATATATATATATATATATATATTGTAGTCTAGGCCCACACTCTTGTATACATGTGTATTAATCAAGAAATTGTGTGTTTCTCTTTCTTTCCTAAATTTCCAGCAGCAATTCTTTTCACTCTCTTGAATTTATTTTCCTATTTAAACTCCATGAACTCAAAATCTATTTTTATGCGGTAATATTTGGTATGTATAGAGTATGTGATATTTTGGTAGGACCTAAGGATGTATTTTTATAACCTAAACAATTTTTCTAAGTTTGTTACTCACAAAACCAGAAAAACAGTCAACTTTCTTTAGTTTTAGAAAATTCCAAAAAATAATCTTGAGTCCACTTTTATGTAAAAATCTTAATCGTGGTGTTATATTTCAACTAAAATTTGTTTGAACTCAAGAAAGTGAGGGGTTTGAGAGAAAAACCGATTTGCATAATGGTCAACGAATTTGGATAGATCTTTGTAATTTTGAATTATCTTGAAATCTAAAATGCCTATCCTACTTTTGTAAATTGAGTTTGAAACTAGACTTATTTAACTACAAACTCACATGCGGCCAAGTAATTGGGGCCAATAAAAGTTTTTTTTTCATAATTATTTTCAAATTGGTTCAAATCTGAAAATCTGAAAACTTGTGTTAATGTGCTCTTATTTGGTTTGCAACTCTTATATTTTATGTTTCTTGAATGTTTTACTTTTGATATGTAATCTATAATAAATTGTGAATTTGCTTTACCATGAATAAATTACTTGTTGTTTAGTTTGGATTCATAATTATATTGACTATGTTTTGCTATAACGATGAACATAATGCCCTTAATAAAGGAAAAATCAAATGGGATGGTAATGGGTTGTGATCATTGTAGTGAATTTTATGAGATAATGAATGATGGATTCAAGAGTTTGATATAGTGGAATGTGTTCCATTTTTGTGAAGTCTTGCACTAGCGTGTTTTCGAACCCTATCATGACACGAGAGGTATTCTGGCTACTTAATAGAAATGGAAAGCATAAGGGTGGTAGTGAGGGTCTCACACAGGGAGAGTATCCCTGGAAGTCCGTTTCCTTGGGTTAGACCGTGATGTCACCACTCGAGTATGTAACCTAGGTGCGTGGGCATCATTAGTAATTGTGCGGTAAACGACGCACTGGTGGTTATGTGGTAAGCGACGCATTTGTATTGTATTAACCAAAAGGGAGTCAGAATTGCCCGCGGGCAGTGTTAGTGGTTGGGCAGGAACGACATCCCGCGGGGAGTTGACTATAACTAACTTAATTGACTATTATTCGTGAGAACTGAAATTTAATTATAAGCTTTGTTTAATTATTGTTGTGACAACCCAACTCTGTGCTATGCTAATTAATCTTAACTATGCTTATAATTATGAGCTTGATATGATTTTTAATACTCCCTCCGTCCCATAATATTAGTCCCTTATTCCATTTTTTATTGTCCCAAAATATTAGTCCCTCTTCCAAAATCAAGTACAAAAATAATATAAATTTTCTATTTTGCCCTTCTTTTAAATTCATAAATAATATAAAAAGTACAATTATGACATTGATATTCTCAAAAAAATGTACTATCAAAGGGTAATTTTGGAAAATCAACTTTTTTAAAATACAATAATTATACTACCAAAAAAAGTTAGATTCCCCAAAAGGGACCATTATTTTGGGACGGATGGAGTAATAATTATATGATTACATGCGTTTGTGAAATTCTATCTGTTCACCGTAGG